CTCATTATCAAAATCATCAAACCAATTAATACTTTGTGAAAATTTCGATATATATGTACACGCAAATTATACCCTTCCATGATTTATACTGTCCACTCTGAGTGACAGCGCTGTATTTGACTCTGCATCGAACTTCCCAATTAGAACCGAAAGACTTTTCATCTGAGATCTTCATTGAAAAAGATAACCAGTCCTTTTTAACATCTGAGCGGATACAAAACGACCTATATTGCCAATTTCAAGCCAACAAGAACACACATATTAGGTTAAATTAAATTGCAAAACCGTGTTGGGGCATCAGATCGAATGACTTACCATTTGATACCGGAAACATAGAAATCTGATGACTGGCACGACTTAATTTCTTCAGTCATTAGCTTAGACATTCCATCAACGAGCATGAAGTGAGCGTTCTTGTTACCACTTATCTTGTCTTTTATCATGTCTAGATTGAATTAAATATGGAGATGATGAGCAAACATATGTATAGACATAAATGAATTAAACTTATATGTATGCATGCATATTTAAGTAAAACAAACCTTCGAATGACGTTAGACCCATTTTGATGATTAGAGTTTTAATTTCTTAATTTATTTATAACTTTGTTGGTCTGTTTTTTGTGTTGTCGTGAAAACAAAAGGGTATAGGATGCGTATATATAGGCAAATTCCAGGACAAAGACAAGCTATGAATTCCGTTGATTGCTAGAAAATGGAGTTTCAATTAGGGTATAAACTGATGGAATCGGTTATGGATTTTTAAGGTTTTTACAGATTTTAAAACGTTTCTATATAATTTTTTAACTGATTTAGTTTTCAACGATTGTATAAAAGGAGATCTCATTAAAAAAAAAACCATAGCTCTTGCAGCCATGCTATTTTGTTTGTTCATATGTTGTGTTGTTTTCTTGAAGCATTTATTTTAAATCTTTAGACGATGTCTAATCTTTTTGTATGAAAAAAATAAAATAATAGATTAAAATCTACAAAACTAGTTTCTACAACAATTAATCTACACTATAGTTTTATAATCAATTGAATCGTAGAACCGATTTTCGGGTTAATAATTATAGACTAGTTTTATCAGTTTTCAGGTGTCGATCACCAAATAAATTAACACATCTAATAAGATTTATTAGTTTTACTACATTTCCCACTACTACGTTACATGTCTAATCTTGCTTAGTTTGTGGTGCTAACACCCTAGTGTGGGCCACTCAAGAAAAATTAGTATAGAGAGAATAACTTAAAGAATTCGAAGGAGTAAATTCCCACATAATGGATTCGATCTTATCTAATACGAACCATATACTCCGGAGTCCNGTCCATATATTCCATAAGCACACTACTTTTATTTATACTCTTGTGATTGTTTCCACAAACACTCTATTTATTCCCACGTTATCGGAATCTAACAACAATGGCCGTCAATTTTCAGAATAGCGACCTATATGCGTAGAGACAAGCGATGCAACATTCCTTTTCTTTTAGCCTAGACCAAAAACATCAGTGCCCTTTCTAAGAGAATTACAAAAAAAAAAAAGAGATGTAAAGTTAATCTTCACTTTGACTAGAGCCGATGTAAATTATAATGTAAAGTTAAACATCACTGCCCTTTCAGTTGTGGTTATAAATTTTAATCTTCACCTTGACC